AACGCTGGTGCGTGCGACGCACAAGATTACTGCGATGGCAAGGGCGCCTGCAAGGACTTCTTCGCAGACAAAACGGTTCTCTGCAAGAAGGGCGCCACCCTCTGTGACAAGAACACGTTCTGCGATGGCACGTGCTCGACGTGTCCCGTCGACGATGACGTGCTCGTCTACCTCGACAGCGAGAGCGTCAGCGTCGCCACGTACCTCAGTGACACCGTGTCGCAGTGCTCTGCCAAGGCCGTTTCTGTTGGCTCCAGCCAGCTCAACGCCATGTACAGTTCGGCTGCCAACAACGGGCTCTTGGTCGTCGCGTGCATCGCTGCCGTCGCTGTTGTCGCCTCGGTGCTTCTTGCCAAGAAGGCGGACGGCTACGTTTCCATGGAAGATGGCTACGCCCGCCTCGCCGACGACACGCGCTACGCCTAATCCTTCACACGCTCCCCTGCTTTCTTCCTGCGTACGATGTTGCATTCCTCCGTATCCTAGTCTCGCCTAATGTCGATCATACATGACCGTGACTTATTTGAATCAATGCTTGACAAGGGATCATGCAGAGGCTGTCTCTTGCCAGGGTATCGATACCGGGCAAGTCGGCAAATGTAACTGAGTTAGTGGTATCGTCGAGAGCGACGAACGCGCAGATTCCGCGCACTCGAGTCTTTGTATGCGGTGGCTAGCACGTTAGCCAACTCGATCCGAGCCTTCTGCGGAATTGACAAATATCTTGTTTCTTTAGGTATCTTTAATCGAAATATACATTTATGTCTGTGTTTTGATAATGCAAAAGACACGCACCTCAACCTTAGAGCACGTGGCTCTCGACAACCGGCGTCGAGAGGTCGGGTCCGTTCCACGCCGACACGACCGCGAACGGGTTGATTTGGAGGTGGCTCATGTAATAGTGGCGCTTGATGTGCGTCATGTTGACGGTCTCGGCGACGCCATCGAGCTGGAAGACGCGACGCGCGTGCTGGAGCAGCTACATCCGCGATCGCTGATAAGATGACAGATCCTCCATTGTAGCTACGTACGTTGGGGTAGTCGTGCGAAATGGTCTTGAGATTGCACTTGAAGTGGCCGTGGTACACCGGGTCAAAGCGCAGAATGGTCGTGAAGAGTCGAATGTCCGCCTGGACATGATTGAGCTACGGTGTATGAGAAATGACAACGGTACCTCGGTGAGCGTATTGCCGACGAGCCACGCCTTGTTCTCCAAGTGCGCCTCGGCGCGGTCCAGGGCGGCAAAGAGCGCGTAGACGTTCGACTCGTAGGCGTCCTGCGTCGACGCAAAGCCTGACTTGTACACGCCGTTGTTGATGCCGTCGTAGACCCACGCGTTGAGCTCGTCAATCTCGGGGCGCAGCGCAAGAGGGTACAGGTCCAGCGACGGGCGCGACGAGAACGCGTTAAACTCGGAGCTGAGCATGCGAATGATCTCGCTCGACTCATTGTTGACGATCGTTTCGTGCTTGGTGTCCCAGAGGATCGGCACTGTGAAGCGCGCGTTGTAGTTGGGCTCGGCCTTGAAGTAGATTTCGCGCACGAGCTTGGCGCCGTTGACCGTATCGGGGATCGTGCCGGGCTCTTCCTCCGGAGTCGAAAAGTGCCAGCCGTCTTTGCCCATGAGGTAGCTCACGACCGAGAGCCCGATGACCGACTCGAGGCCCTTGAGCTTGCGCACGATAGCTGTGCGGTGTGCCCACGGACAGGCCCACGAGATGTAGAGATGGTACCGGCCCTTCTCGGCCGGGAAGCGCTCCGAGCCGATAAAGTCGCGGAACGAAGAGACTTGGCGCTTGAACTGCCCGTCCTTCTGGTCGGCCCAGTTGAGAATCGCCGCCTTGGCTTCGGGCTGGTGGGTCGTTGTCGTGCTCGCCATGGTCGTCGTGCTACTGCTGCTGCTCTTGCAAGTTGTAAAGTGACACTGGTTGTGGCTGACAGAGCTGGCTGACAGGCAAATCCTGACACGACCAGGCAACATCTGATTGGTCAGATCTCAGATCTGAGTGGTGAGATTGCATGTTTAGTCTGGAAGGAGCTTCCACGGAAGTTGATTCGGTCGCGAGCTTCGGCGATGATCGCTGGCGCCACTGCAAGTGCCAGGCAAGCAAAGGTTCGACAAGTCTGAAATCTGAGGGTGCAGTCAGAGTTAGTCGATGTCGGGACCTTGAGTGACTCAAGGTCGATCAATACGTGTGGATGCGAATCGCCGTATGTGCACGGGGCTTCAGATCTTAGCATGTAGTATTGCAAATATGAGCTAGCTTAGAATGTGTAGTACTTTTAATGTATTTCACATGGTTTCTGGTCCGCTTGGTCCGCGTGGAAAGCGACCTTGCGTACAGAGATTCGGGACTGCTCGGGTTGACCGTGACTACTGTCTCGAGTCGTTTTCGTCCACCGGAATGGCGAGCGCATTGCGTTCTTGTATGACACGAAGCTCTGGGCCTCGCCGAGCTGGTCGAATGTCCTACCTACGTATCCCGGGACAAGGTCTGATGAGTGCCTGTGTGCTGGTGCTATAAAGCCACCGAGTTGTGTGAGAGACAAGCACGAGAGCACCACAAGGCGTGCCTCGTACTACACTGTCAGTAATCACGGTCACGTGATGACCGCTCCGGCAGCCTTCCATCATCATCCGCCGCATTTCCCAATGGCGATGCAGGCCAGCACCACCACCAACGATGACACGTCGATCGAGAGCCTCTCGGACTTTCTTGCAACCACAGTCGACTTTGGCCTCGCGACGTCGGCTACGTCCACGTCGCGGAAGCGCCGTGCGTCGCCCAAGGAGGAGCTTGCCTACTTGCGCGTCAAGCACGCGGACCTCGTCGCGCAGTACAGTGCACTCCAGAGCGCGCAGCCGTGGGAAGAGTCATCGTGGAAGGCCAAGGCACTGGCGCAAGCCCAGAATGCTCAAAAGGCGCGCCACGAAAACGAGTCGCTCAAGACCACGCTCCACGAGTCGCTCAAGCTCCTCCAGGCGCTCCAACACGTGCTACACAAGCGCCCCAAGCTCGCGCACTTTCCGATCCGAGAGACTGACGAAGAGAACGATTTGTGGCGGCGCGCGATCTTACGCACGACGCAGCGGCACTCGGACCTTGAGCGACTCATGGCGCTGCAGTACGACAAACTCGAGACCGAGTGGATTCGCCACGGCCTCTTTGACGCGATCGACACCAACACGCCCCTCAAGTCGTCGCTTGTGCAAAGCGCAGCGGACGACAACGCGATGGAGCTGCACTTTCTACGCACGGCACTTTGCCCGCTTCCGTTTCGCGCGATGGCGGACTTGCTCTGGGACCACATGACAAGCAACGTGCCCGGCACCACACAAGAGGTGCGTTGACGTTGCCGATTTGAAGTTGCATCTCAGAGGAGGGCCCTAGCTGCTGTATGCGTTCGAGCCCGACTTGGTCTACATTCGGTAGGACAATGTGGACGTAGTAGGATTGTGACGCGTGGATAGGCTCACGACGGAGCTGTCGGACGCAGCCATGCCGGCGCTCGAGTCGCGCCTCGCGGGGCGAAGGTGGACTGAGGCCGACAGAGTCGTCATTGCGTGGCGCTCCATTATCGAGGACCGCCTCGTCCCCCACGACGATAACCATTTGATCGAAAACCGCGTCGGCTGGTGCGGTGCAATATGCGATACACGCGCTAGCTTATGAAGCGGGTTAGGGTCACAGTTCACGCACGAAGCGAGACCGAGTGTTTCTTTGCGCTCTACGCCAAGTCGACGACACCCATGTTTCCGCAGGCACTGCGCGCCCAGCAACCGGCCGTTGGCACCCTCACAGAGATCATGCTTCGGTTGCACCGCGACAACTCGGTCAAATTTGCAGCCCTTATGAAACAAGCGATGCTGGCCAAGATGGCCGAGCAAGGAATTGAAGCGCCGATTCCGCAGCGCTAGTCTGCTCTCGCGAGTCGGGCCAAGATGGTCCGGCGTTACAAGGTACCTAAAGCGAAATGAAAGCAACCTGTCGTACAGCGTAGTCCTAGCTCGTGGCTCACATGCATGAGGGCTTCTCCTGCGTGATCTCAAGATGATCAATGTGTTGTCCTTCTCGAAACTTCAACCCTCGCTACAAGAACATGTTTGTTGGAACACGCGTTATAGGAACACTGAGATTGCCGTTTCGAGCGACGTTGAAAAAGTGAGGCGACAGTGAAGTGATGTGTGGGGCCGCGCTCCGAGCTTACTTGACACCGGCACGCCGGGTACTGACGCGCCAGGCATCGACCGTTGCCGGCGGCAGCGACAACATTGCGACCTTCGCTGCAGGCTGCTTCTGGAGCGTCGAGCTCAGCTTCCAGCGCATCCCCGGCGTCCTCGAGACGCACGTCGGCTACACGAATGGGCAAAAGACCAACCCGACGTACACTGAGGTGTGCACGGGCAAGACGGGCCACGCCGAGGCGGTTCGCGTCAAGTTTGACCCGGCTATTGTGAGCTACGACGCGCTCCTCGACAAGTTCTGGTCCATCCACGACCCAACGACACTCAACCAGCAAAAGAACGACGTTGGCACGCAATACCGGTCCGGTATTTACTACCATAACGATGCGCAAAAGGCGCTCGCGCTGGCTTGCAAGGCCTCCGCGCAGCCACGCTTTCACCGACCGATTGTCACCGAAGTCGTCGCCGCCGAAACGTTTTACGTTGCCGAGGACTATCACCAGCGGTACTTGGAAAAGGGTGGGCAGTGCGCGCGCAAGGGCTCAACCGACGCCATTCGCTGCTACGGCTAAACCCGCCGTGGCAGTAATTCCATAAAAGGTCAATGATACGAGCCAAAATTAATCCTTGATGGAGAGACTTGGTCTCCGTGAAAGACATGTACAGGTTGCAAGACTCGACATGTAGGTAGCTCATGAAGGCAGCGCACGAATGCACAAGGAGGCACCGAGAGTACCCGGCCCTCGCCCACGTGACCCAGCAACAACGTCAATCCGAGTGAGCTTGTCGGAGCTCGCTGTCGGTGCAGAGTCGAGGTCGATGTGCTGCGAGTTATCAGTTGAAGTTGGTCGGTGATCAGACACCCACAGACGCGTCCATTCGTTTCCAAGGCAAGCATTCTGGTGACGTGGATGGCTTGGTGCTGCTTATCCATGGCCCCAACACGGTGCGTCCGAGTGTTCGCGATCTTTCGCCCGTTGTTCGGCCTGCGCAAGCTCGCTACAGCTGTCTTTGGCAACCTCTACATGTTCACCGTCCATCGCGCGTCGGAAGATCTTCAAGCTTGGAAATGCGTTGGAGTGGCGCAATCATCGATTGGATTGGCTCGTTGTCCCCTATCCCCGATCTTTAAATTGCGAGTTGTGATTGGCGGAAACCATTTCTAACGACATGATTGGCTTGTTTCCTGACGTCACTGGACGTCCAATCCAATCAGTTGGAAGCATCCGGTTACTATCCGGAGTACCCAAGAGGGCACGGTAAATCCCAACTGGCTGTCTGTCGCGGGTCCTCGGGAGCCAGATGGCGGCACGGTAAGTCCCGGGGATGAACCTCACTTCTGAAATTGCCTTTTGAACAATGACCAAGACGGTGCCCGTGACGCTCGAGCCCAACGAGGCGCTTGCGACCTTTGCCGCTGGCTGCTTCTGGAGCGTCCAGCTCAACTTCCAGCGTCTCGAGGGCGTCGTCGACTCGCACGTCGGGTACATCAACGGTACGACCGAGAACCCGAGCTACAAGCAGGTGTGCAAGGGCGACACCAACCACGCCGAGGCCGTCCAGATCAAGTTTGACGAGAGCAAGATCACGTACAAGCAGCTCCTTGACAAGTTCTTTGAGATCCACGACCCGACGACCGTCAACCGCCAAAAGGAGGACATCGGCACGCAGTACCGGTCGGGTATCTTCTACCACAACGAAGAGCAGCGCGTCGCGGCCGAAGAGGCCAAGGCGCAGAAGGCCGAGGCCATCAAGGCCGAAGTGGCCACCGAGATTGTGCCCGCTGGCATTTTCTACCACGCCGAGGACTACCACCAAAAGTACCTCGAGAAGGGCGGCCAGTGCTCCCGCGTCGGCTCGACCGACCAGATCCGCTGCTACGGCTAAGCGGTGCTTCGAAACAATAAATCCATTCGTGTCGTTGTCTACAACTTAGTCTCCGAATTCCAGCTCGTTCTCCGTACCAACAGTTCAGTTCACACGCACGTCACCGCACCGAGGGGCTCAAAACCAAGGACTCTTACGACACTTAGAATTGCCGCACACGCTTGACCGGTGGCTCCTCATCATCCTCTGCACGCAGTTGGCTCTTCAAGGCGTTGATCACTATCGTTATGGGCCAGAGCCTGGAGCTCCATCTGGTGGGCGCGCCACTCGGCCTCGAAATCTTGACCGGGCTGGGGTGTTTTTCACCGATGTACCGCCCTTACATACGTGGATAAGCAACGTCGTCATCCCCCGCCTGAATGCATCTTCGCCATCAATGAGAAAGCGAATACGCGCGTCATCAGCGTCGATGATGCGTACGAGGTCGGGGCAGAGACCCGTCATCACCAGCTCAGCGTGACCCGCTTGGGCTAAAGAGGCATGTGCATCCTTGCACCGGTCGCAATGTTCCGGGTTGAGATCCGGAGGCGGCGTCGTTGCAAAGTCGGTGACGTGCGGTAGCGGTGGCAAGTGCGCCCACCGATCGATGGACATCGCTGCCATGGTCGAGACGCATCGCATTCGGCACAAGCCGATCGCTAAGCGCATCGAGCGTCGCTGGTAGAATCTGCGGCCATTTCGTTGCAAATGGGACGACATCCTGAGGCGCAAACTGCTGCAAAAGGAGCGTCAAGGAACAAGAGCGCGCCGGCATGAAATGTGGCGTCGTTCGTGTTGCCGTCGTCGCTCAAATGCAAATACAACGGGCTCTTGTTTCGCCCTTGCCAGTACATATGCCCCGATACCCCATCGTTGAGCAGCGCCTCGGCACGCTGTTGACGTACAGCGTACTGTAGCGCACGACAAGGGCCCGCGGTGTCCAACTGCGTGGCGATGGACGCGACGGCCGGAAGCATGCAAAGTTAGTTGTCCGACGCGACGTCGCATGGTGGCGGGTGCGCAAGTGCTCCGGCGCCATGGGCGCCCGATGCGCGTCGAAAATGGTTTCGATGAGAGTGTCCGACATTGGCAGCATCGGTTGGGTGCATACGCCAGACCGCCGGCAAAGTCCTGGAGCAGGTCGAGTGCGTTTGTTGGTGAAAAGAAACTCGTCACCGACGGGTGCGTTGGAAAGAGGAAGGCGTCAATGGCAGCGACAAGGACCGACGGCAGACGTACGTAGCTGGCATCGACCCGCTGCGGCGCGGTTGTCGTCACATAGTGCTTGAGCAAGAGACGACATTTGGCAAAGACGCAGCCACGGTGCTTCCAGTCAGTCTTGGTGAAGGGACCGGGTGTCGTTATGGCAAGGTCAAGCGCTTGAAGAGCTCTGCCTGCAACGGCTGTCGCAGCGGTGGGCACACGGACGTGTCAACATCTTCATCCTCGAGACCAGCCAAGCTCGTGAGCAGCTTCAGAGTTGCTTCCGCGTGCGTCTTCATCCAGCGCTAGACAAGTCCGAGCATCGCAGGCTGCAGCGGGACCCAGCCATGAATCGTCAAGAGACCGTGCAGCATCGGTGTAGTCACGTTCACGGGCAGTCCCTTTCGAAGTGCAGCGATATCCGCAATAAAAATGAACGAGAGTTGATGCTTTGAAGCGCCATCCGAATGCGCTGCAGTGGCAGGACGTACGGCGACGTGTGTTCCTCGCGGTGCACGAGTCGGGGAATGGCCGGCAATGGACTCTGCGCGTCAAAGATCGACATGGCCGAGAGCACGAGCTCGTTGTGTCAGCAATGCCGACGTTCGCGTCGGCCAAGTCGGTCTCCCGTAGCGACTGATGCCGCGTTTCGAGAAATCAAAGACACTAGCAATGTCTTCGACCAAGGGACGCAAAGACACAGTACACCGACGACGTGGGCGTAGCGCTTGATTGCCGGGTGCGCTCCGTGTCAAGACGCTTTCTGCGATCTTCTTTCACCACCAGGAGAGGGATGTTAGCTCGCTCGAGATCGCATGCAAGCCCCGGTTCTCGAACCACCTGAGAAGCGAAGAGCCAGTCGAACCCAAAGAGCCTCTATGAGAAGATTTCCCTCCGGCCTCAGGATCCAACGGTCACGAAATCACCATCCGTAGTGGTACCGACACAGATACCAGTACACCCTAAACAAGCGTGCGACGGACTCCATGTCCTGAAACTGGCATTGAGATGCTTACGACTTGAAGACGCCAAACACCTTGTGCAGCGCTGCGTTGGACGCGCGCTTGCCCGCCGAGACGATCCGCTGGCTGAGCTCGTCTTCTTGCCAGTCCTTCCAGCGACCAAAGCGCATGGTCTGCGCGTGCTTCTCGCAGTGCAAGAGTCGCTGGGCGCGGGCTTCCATCTTGGGGACGCAGCTACGCATCATGAGTGTCATGGTATCGACACTCCGTCTACCTTGCGCTCGTGACACCCGTTTCTGCAAACGACTCGACGCGGCAGACACCAACGCCTTGCGAGACGGCCGTCTCGGCCACGTCCTGGCGGCGAATGTACTAGTCGAGCATGAGTCTCTACACATCGTCTTGGAACAAAGCTCGTACACTGCGTGTGGACATGGCACAGACGCCGAGATCCGGTTCCTTGGTCCTGCGACGCCTGAGAGATAATCGCCAAAAGTCGTATCGCAGTACCGGTAGAGCATCTCGAGCTTGACGTAGCGCTGCTTGGACACAAGGTGCGAGTACAAAACGTCCTGTCGCGGCGCGTTAGGACCCAAGTTTCTCTGGAGTAGATGTACGTCGGTCTCGAACTGCACGCCAAATGGCCGGACGGCGAGGACGCCGCACTTGGTCGGGTCACCGATGAGCTCGTGGCCAGACATGCCGCGAGGCAGCGTCTCGCGCAAGAACACGCGCCGAAGGAACGGCGTGTGGTAGACGTAGAGCACGGTAGGGTCCTTGGGGTGCTGGCCCACGACGCGCGCGACGACCTTCTTCCCGAGTGGCAGCGTCGGAATCGTCGAAAAACGCGTGAGCTAGTCACGATGAGTCACCAGCAATGAGATGTCACCAGCAATGAGATGCCGTATGCAATGTGTACCGCGCCAGTCGAGCGTACAGTCACGTAGACGCAGCCGAGCTAGCGGTCAAATAAGGCGTCGTCAAAGAGAGATGGTTGGTGGTCTACCATCGTGACCATGCAGCCATAGCGAAACACGACGAGGTTGCTGTCGACGTCGTCGCGAAGACGCGTGAGCGTGTCGCCTACGGTCTGCCGCAGCGCCGCATACGGGTCAGGTTCGTCCTTGCGGTCCTTGTCCATCACGCTGCGCCTTGGAGACTGTCAATCTATGCGCAATGCCATTGGATAAAATAATCGTCTTTCGGCCAATAGCATCGCCTCATTCTACCAGCCCAGGGCTCACGACCAACGCTCGGTCAAGCGTTCCAAGGATACGTCACTGCATTCTAGGAGACAGGCATAGTGGAGACGTGCGTTATGTGAATTTGTGAGATGTGCATGTGCTTGTGCAAAAAAAAACAGCATGCAGCTTGAACAATATTCTTTATTGTTAATTAATATAATGTCACACTATTGACACAGGCTCCTTTGGCTCAGTTGGTAGAGCGTCAGTCTCATAATCTGAAGGCCGCCAGTTCGATCCTGGCAGGGAGCATTTTTGTTTTTTTGGTTGATAATTGCCAATGCGGACACTCCAGGGCACAACGATTTTTATTTCGCGCCAGAATATACTAGCAAATGTTGGAAAATGCTGGGATCATATCCAACGGCCCACTACAACTCGCTAGTGACGGACAGAGGCTCAACGTGCTGATTTGCGGCATCCCTGGGCACTGGGTGATTTTTCAAGGAATTATTTTTGACTAAAATTGCACGAAATTACGCCCTGTGCGCGAACCACGTCACTGGGATCATTTCAGAGGCGCGACGACAAGTCTGTTTTATGAAGCGCCAAGTATTAGCTCGCGTTGAATATCTAGATGGAATTTGTTGGAACGGAAGCACAAAATTGTTCGAGAATTTGAAAACAAATACGTACT